CAAGGCTTTTAAAAACATTTTTGTAGTGGGGGACTTTTCTCACCTTCAGGCCTTCCATTGACCCACATCCCCTCATACGATACACCTGAAGAATGAATCATGGAACCTTCACCATTGAACACATCTCCCCACCACTGACCCTAACAAATTAAAAAAATACAAAACATACATGTAATCCATGACAAAGTGAAAGCAAAGTGAGAGTATGAAAAATTGTTAATTTGTTCTAAATAATTTAGGACAAATTGTCACTGTTAAAATGTAAGAGTTCCTTTTCATACCCCATAAATTGTTCCATCTACAAACTTCATTATTCCGTGTCCTTGACGTAAATCGTTAACCCAGTCTCCTTCATAAATATCACCATTGCTGATGGGAGAAAACAAAAGAGAGAAATTGGTTCCAATCAGGCCTTAAGCCAGATTGCATGAGAACTGGACATCCAGGAGGCATGTTTTGCCATCAAGTTACAAGAGATTATTGAGTGAATTTTAATGTTGACAAAACCTAGATTGGAGGATGAAGAATTAGCCCAGTTGGTTAGTGCTCGGCCTTCTGTGCAGGAAGTCTCAAGTTCGATTCCCAGGTGTGCCCACAAATCCTTCTTTTGACTTCTTTCCCATCTGTGTAGCTTTAAGTAGCTTTAAATACCCATAAAATGGAACACTGATGAAGGGGGAGGGGGGATAAAATGAGTGCACCGTCTGCCTTAGGTTCGCTAGTCAGATGACTACATGTATTTCGAACTACCAAGGTAAAATAAGGACTCTTTACCATTTCTTCTTTTACCTTAGTTTTTTTATTGGATCAGACTGGATTTGACCTGTGCTGGGGCCCATACCTGTGCACCAAAAAAGAAATAATAATCACTTCCACCCATAATTTGCTATTATTATCTCGTCTTTAAGATGAAAAGTTTTTCATTTTCTGTTGTCTAGAGTAAAGAAACTTGACCACAATGTCCTGCATTGCCAAATTTTTGCACTTGTTTGCCCCCTGAGAAATGACATGACACTGCTTTTATCCCATAAGTCCTTTAGCGCGTGCAAAGATAGTGGGTATAATGAATAAGTTCTATCCTGAGCCAGAGTTATTACAGCTCCTAACCTAAACAATAATTTGCCTTCCCCATGTCTTCTGTGGTTGTGGAAAGATCCTTCATAAACTTTTCCATCTTTACTGATAAGTTTTCCCTCACCTGACAATGAAAGACACTAAACATTGTTGAGTGGTAAACCACAGTGGAACCCCATTAATGTGACCACCGTAGGGCCATAAAATCCTGGTTGCAACAATGAGGTGGTCGTACTAACGGGGTCTTCAAAGTAATAAAATGACTCAGTGATTTTGTAAGTTTGGGTTGAAAGATTACGGTCTTAACAACGAGGTAGTCGTATAAACTGGGTGGTCATGAGGCAGGGTTCCATTATACTACCTCATTACCAACATATGGCCAGCTCCAAAGAAGTGCAAGGCTGTCAGCCTGCATCGCAGATTTAATCTTACCCTGATCAGCAACGTCTGCAAGGCAGTGCCAATAGGCTGATTTAGCAACAGAGCACGAACATTGTTTGACGACGGGAAAGCGCGTGGAAAGGACTAAACTCGACTTCCAGTGCTAAAATTGCCATTCTGCCATTGGTTGAGCCAGCTGTTTGATTTGCGTGCACAGTCATCAACTGATATTTCCGTTCTGTTGCTAAATCAGCCTAATATCCTTGTTCTGGAAATGCGATTCAAATTTCTTTTCAAACCTGACTGGGAAATCGACAATAGCTTTTTTAACAGGTCAATCATGGCGCACACTCAAATCCCAGTATACAAGTGGGGGCTCACTTCAGAACAAGGATTTCACTGCTGTTTTGCAGATGGACTTATTAACCAGAAGTTAAGTTCTGTCTGTGACGCAGGCCAATTGGCTGCCTGACTGGGTAAAATGGGGCTATGTAAAAAATTTAACAAAGGGTTTCCTTGTGGTTAATTTAAAGTTCTCTATGAAAGTAGCCTTTACAGTGAGCCGTGAGCGAAACTGAAATTGCAGTGAGCAAAATTGAAATTGTAACGAGCAAAATATTGAAACTGCCAGGAGGGAAATTGAAATTGCCATGACACTTTTAAGCCACCATAGGGCTTTCAATAATTTATTATTGCACATGGAATGGATATGCTTTACCTTCTCGTTTATTGTCAACCCATTCTCCTTCATAACGAGATCCATCACCATACATCATAATACCATGACCATTCAGTTCTCCCTTGACAAACTGTCCTGTGTATTCATTTTTTGTTGACACCCACCGACGAAATCCATGTCCCTGGATTTCACCATCCATAAACTGTCCTTCATAAAAACTGCCATCTGCCATAACAAGTTTGCCATGACCTTAAATAGAAAATAAAATCAGTATTCATATGTATAATAACATGGTAAAAATTGGTCTCAGATCAAANTTGCACGTGGAATGGATATGCTTTACCTTCTCGTTTATTGTCAACCCATTCTCCTTCATAACGAGATCCATCACCATACATCATAATACCATGACCATTCAGTTCTCCCTTGACAAACTGTCCTGTGTATTCATTTTTTGTTGACACCCACCGACGAAATCCATGTCCCTGGATTTCGCCATCCATAAACTGTCCTTCATAAAAACTGCCATCTGCCATAACAAGTTTGCCATGACCTTAAATAGAAAATAAAATCAGTATTCATATGTATAATAACATGGTAAAAATTGGTCTCAGATCAAACCCAGTGCCAGATCCAGACCTTGAGATAAGGAGGGGGCCCAGTCATCCAGACCCTTAGAAAAGGGGAGGGAGGGGTGGTCAGCCAAAAAGTCTTTTCAGCAATGAAGTCAGAACTCTTCCTCTGTCATTAAGGCCTCCTCTTTTGGGAACTGTGCTATTTTTTGTACGTGCATCTTTGTCAAACTTTCCCGGTAAGCAAATTGTCGGAATACTGTAATCGAAGGAGCAGTATCAATACCGGCAAAGCTCCCACAAAAAGAGCTCTTTGTTATTCTATTTCCCATGGAATTACATTACATTCCCCCAAACCTCAGCTCAACCTTGTTCTGAGGGTTCTCTCCTACCCATCCCTATGGGTACAAACGAAGGCCAGTAGGAGAGAACCTTAATCTTGGTAATGAGGTTGACCACAGCTACACACACAATGAGTTGTGCTCATCTTCTTAATCTTGTTTTCAAGGCTTTATCATCTGATGCCTGACCATCTTATCTCAAGATCAATGAGGTTGTCCACACACGTCCGTTGCATTCTAATGCTGCAAAACGATTAGTTACTCCGCCAGAGAATGGCAGCTTTCAACATAGTGCTGCACAGCTTTTAAATAGTCTTCCTGTTCATGTAAGAAATAGCACTGATTTTCATTACTTCTGTCGTAAGACACACTTTTTTCTTAGAAATTGTATTCAGTAATTAATCCTGGGTGTGTTTCTGTGAAATAACTTTACTATTTCCCTGAAAGGATGAGATGCAGTAACTGTTGCGCTTGCCTTATGCTGTAACTTTTCTTAAATGATATTACGTACTTTAGATTTGATTTGATTTGATTTGATTTATTTCTTATTTGTTTTTATTTTTTCACATTTTTATTTGCTTAATTGTTTAATATCTGTTATATCTTTTTCATCAGCCTCTTGTAAATACCTTATTATATGTAGACATAATTCTCATATAATACCATATAAATATAGCTATAAATTAATATTTAACCTTAAGTTATCCTTCTAATTTTTAGTTAGTAGTTTTAGTATGCTCTGAAGAAGAGCCACTTACGTGGATACGCTGACATTAAACCATTAAATTATTATTATTATTATTATTATTATCATTATTATTATTATTATTATTATTACTATTATTATTAATATTATTATTACTATTATTATTATTACCATCACCTCCGTCAAACAAACATAAGGTAATTTGTAGGATGATTCATTAACAGCTGTCCTATAAAGGTTTTAATTTCCAGGCTCAGTCAGACATCTTTTAAAGGCCTATTAACTCTTATATTCATTCCACAAGAATTTACAAGTAACAACTACCCACCATGTTTCTTGCCCTTGCTCCACTCTCCTTCATATCTGAAGAATTTGTTGGGGTAATTATAAACACCAAAACCTTAAAAAACAACCTTATTTGTTACACAAAACACGAACCAATGCTGAGAAGAAACGAACTGAACCAGCTGACTGATCTTACCGTCTCTAAGCTGCTTCTTGGTTTCACCGATGTAATTTCCTGCTCCTTTGGATGTTGTGGTGTTTAATACTGTTGCCATTCTTAAAGAATGTTTTCTACAGCAACGCTAATGTTGTGTTTTAATTTTAATTTAAGATTCACCAAAACTATCGTCAACTTCACCCGCCATTTTTGTTGTCGAGTGGTTGCTAAGCGGGAGGGCGCTTACGCCAGCGGACTTTCTTTCAAAATGGCTGCCGTTTCTGCCAAAACATGTGTTTTTAATTATTTTGAAATCTAACAGAAACCCCCTTCGAAAATGACAGAACAAGACGGAGATTTCATTCAGGGAACTTGTATGCAAATGTGTCCTCAGAGGGAGATCTTATCACGAGAAAAGCAGCGACGACTTCACTTCTTCGAAACCGTTGCGTTTACATCGCCTTCTACAAATTCAAACATTTCCCAACAAGACAAACTAACAGCAGATCCGAGGGCCGTAGTTAAGGAATTTACTCGCTCAGCGGCAGGGAAGGCTATTGATCCTTCAGAACTTAGGCCATTTCAAGTACTTTTACGGACGGTAAATTATCTGATTGACGTAATTGCTGCCAAAGATGGGGACTACCCATGGCATATGATTTACTTGTTCGTTTTTGACAGGACAAGATCTGTTAGACAAGATCTAGTTGTACAAAGAATCAGTGGAAAGCCTGTTGTTGAAATTTTCGAGAAAATATGCAGGTTTCACATTTTCAGCAGCTACCAGCTATGTGAAAGTACCATCGATGTGTTTGACGGAAAAATCAACAATGATCACACCACAGAGTGCTTAAAGAGACTTCTGTGTTTCTATGACATGGAGCAGCCTGCTACCTATAGAGAAACCAGAGCAGAGTTCGAAGCGTACTACTTGTTACACAATTTGGGCTTGGTTGAGGCATTAACGCGAGCTGTGACTTTGCCTGAAGAAATCAAGAGAAGTTGCCTGGTTCAGTTAGCATTTGACATTAACTTGACTATACTGCTTAGAAACTATGTACGGTTCTTCAGACTTGTCACGTCGCTGCCTTATCTAGCATGCTGTGCTGTTCATAAGCACTTCAATCATGTGAGAGCTGATGCTCTTGCCACCATAAACACAGCTTATTTCAGCCGTAATGCAAGCCTTCCCCTAACACTGTTGGTTGAAATTTT